AGAATTAGACAGTACCTATCTGTGGTTATTACAAGCTGACCAATACCCATTGCCCAGATTCATTTTCTGAGCTTGCAGGTGGTCAAAAGTTCACCTGAATTTATTTGCATGAAGTTAACACATTGAAGAGACTTGACAGATAAAATCCTTGTATATGGCATTGACTCAGCACCAGCAATTTTGCAGCAATCTATCAAACAAATTTCTTTACCTGATCTGGTGACAGTGCTACACCAACTTAATAGGTTCTTTGAGAACAAACGCAAATGCCAGTGGACTGAGAAAAACGTTCATGTAAGCAAAACGGTTATAATAACCTTCAATAAAGAACTTACTTAAAGTACTACGACCCTGACCAACCAATCAAAATCACATGTGACACATGACCCTATGAATTGGGCAATACTCACGCGATGAAAGAAGACGAGGAAAGATCAATTTCCTTTGCGTTCAGGTTTTTATTGAAAGCACAACAGAATTATTAGAATATCAAGAATGAATCTTTTGCGATACATTAAGATGAGAAAACCTGTGATTCTCAATATCGATCAGTAAGACATAATGCACCAAAATTAAATATGTCATCAAGAGAACAACACCATCATTAAGTGACACACAACTGTAGATTATTATGATGTCTGCTGGCCAAACTTTGTAAATACACAGGTGTACCACTTGTTATTGCAAAATTCACTAAATTATTCACTCCATATATTGCCTCTATACATATGTCATGAATTGTGCAATTGTGTGGCGGTTGTTTATTTCTCAAATATCACTAGCTGATATGGTATGGTGAATGTCACAGTATTCACGAAAAATGTTATTAATTTAGCAGAGCCAATGTTTCAGACAGGATTACAATAATTACTTGAATGATGCAATGACACTACTGGTAACATGCAATAATATCAACTGAAAGGTTATCTATGCATGACCGAGATCCTGATCCAGAATTACAAAAATGCTTGATATTGGCGAATTTTCAACATTAAAATGGCCACCATTCAGCCATCTAAAATTGAATTGAATGAATACATGTGCTTATGTGTGACATGATGTACCAGTATATATAAAGTTTGAACATGATTCGTCATGGCATGTCAGGGAACAACGTTCATTAAAACAAAATGGCCACCAGTCATTCATTTTGAAGTGAGAATAGTATTATTTTCATTACCTCTGCCCTGGCCTCCATATCTGCCCCTGCCGCAACGAGTTTTTTCAATATGCCAAGTTCACCATTTTCCGCTGCATAATGTAATGCTGTCTTCTCAAACTGAAAACATATCATACAACAGTATATGTAAATGTTGGTGACTGTGACGTAATAGTAATTCCAATAAATCTGTATGACATAAAATGAAAATTATAAATGAGATATTTCTATATGCATTCAGGTCTAATAATATAAGGTTATTAACAAAATACCACAATTTATGCTCAAATACATCGTACATGGGAGGTATTGTTTGAGCTGAATAGTGTACCAAACGCGTACACGTGCGAGAACATAAACTTGTGTATTTTGTTAATAACATTATTATTATACGTCCTTTTCAACATAAGCTGGCAACAAAAATAAGCAAACCTATCTATTTCGTGCTCAGAATTTTCCACCAGGCGATGTCAATAAAGTTTTTGAAATATTTGCATAATCGAACATGCCACTTGCATGCACTCCACTGGCACAATTTCTGAATGTTCTTTTCACACTTCATCAGACCTTGCGATATAAGCAGAAACCACTCCTCTTTGCTTTCAAGCTAGAATGACTGACACATATTAGTGCAGTCAACTCAACAAATATTTTTAGAAAGAATTATTGCATCTAGTTTGATTTAATTTGAAGATAAGCGATCAGAATACTGCCGCTCGTTGATAACGACTGCAGAAATGTCTTTGTTTATATAAGGTTATGTAATAGAGTCAATCAGAAAATTTTGAGTTCAAATTATTCATATTTTATTTTGAATATGAAAATATATATTCAGGTGAAAGTTAGCCTGATTAAAGGTAATTTTTATGTTGATCTGCTGAAAATGTGAAGAGATCAAACACAATAATATAAAGTTGCATAGTTATGCCGGAAACTCCATAGGTTACAGTAGTAGATGTATAATAATGAAAAAAACAGTGAACAATTTGTTGTGACAAATATGATAAAATGATTGTTTCCCAAATCTGATAAGATAATAAATAATCAATATGTCTTACATAGCCTTTCATATTCATCTCAATTCCATGATTTATAAATAGATCAACCACTTTTCCATGTCTATTCCATGTTGCAAGATGCAATGCTGTATTACCATCCTACAGAGAAATGAGAGTTATATCCAAGAGTAAGTAACACAGATAATGTTAAAGTGTGTCACGTACCTCATATTAAACATTATATATTTTATGTACAACAAAAATTAATCAGTCACGCTTCGACAAATTCATATTAATTGTGCATGTCCAGGCACAAATACCTTATTTCTGAAATTGACATCATAACCCTCTGCAAGCAATCGTTTTACTTCTTTAATATCACCATTTGCAGCAGCATCTATCAACTTGGCCTA